TTTTGATCACCCAGTTACCTGAAAATTGTTTTAAATATTTTAATGATTTAAAAAAAAAATTATAACTGTCACAATAGGTGATTGAAACATATTACAATATATTATTAAAATATAAAATACAAAAAAAAAATATATATCCGATATAATTTTATAAAATGTGAACATACAGTAGTATTCCATAACAATTTAATCTTCCAATCAAGTTAGCCGGAGTTAATTTCGACCTAGGCAAATCTTGCCTCCATCAAATACTTCTTCTATCCATATAATGACCTGTTCGAAGCACAAACTCCTATAGACTAAACCCAGTACTGTTGCGATTTTAATCGTATGAGAAATTTACTCATGAGGAATAGGTCACCAACTGTCACGTATCAGTTTTTGTTTTCATTATTCGTTGTACTATATAATTTCATAATATGTAAATTTACAGGTATTTCAAAACTAAACTAAGTGTTGGTAGAGGAAGTGGCCTTTTATTAGGCAGCTGCAAGTAAATGTCCTTGACAAGGCGCTCTGTGTTAATTCTTTTTCAAGTCTAATCACATATACAATCAATTAAAAACTTGGTAGTTGTCAAAGTAGATGATTTGTTGGTTTTTAGTGATATCTTCCTCTTTGTATTATGTACTTACGGTTGAAGAGTGCTTGGAATTTACTTGTCAATACATCTTATTGTTGTACAAGTGTCTGAAACCTTCCTGTTTTTAGCTAAATCACTTTACATCTTTGCCAAGATATTTCTTTTACCACTTGAATAATTACAGATTTTGAAATGTTAGGAGTAGCTTAGATTATTCTTGTATGAATTGGTAATTAATTTATTAATGTAAATGTACTTCTGTGTGATCATATTAAATATTAATAACATTGTGGATGTTATAGGGTAGGGTGGTCGGACTGACCAGGTACACAAGTTCGTAGGAAGGATTTCTAAGGTTGTGGTGAGGAGGAGTGGTTCTAATTTTTGGCAAAAGTCCACGTCCACCTTAACTCCACTATATTTGGGAAATATAAACACCCTAAAATGACTGGAAACTGCATTCCGGTATTTTAAAAGTGGCAGATTTAAAATGTTAATTCCAACTTCCATGCAATGGTACTTTTGTAATAATAATTTAGAAGGGAATTTCTGGAAAAGAGGGGGTTCTTTCGAAATCCCCTGGCTACAGGATTGATACAGAGGTTTAAGAGTTATTGTAACAGAAAAGGTGGCTTGAAGGGGCCCCTCTATCTTATTAACTGTGTTCTGTAATATTAAGTTAGTGAGCATATATATGGTACTGGTACAGGCATGTATGATGCGCCTCTTCCTTGAGGTTATAAAGTGCAGTTCTTTTTCCTGGTCATTGGGTCCACATGCTTTAAGTGTTGCCGTTGGGAATCAGCGCAGGAGCAGGCAACCCCACCAGGAACCCATTTATACTCCTGGGTGGAGAGAAGCAATGCAGATAAAGTGTCTTGCTCAAGGACACAAGCGAAATGCACAGCAAGGGATAGAAAACCAGACCTCAATGTTGGGAAACCAAACTGTTCATATACCACTTTTTTTCAGTTACAAAGAATATCCAATAATTTATATTATGAATGAATTATATACTTTTACTTTGGATTGGAACATAAAGTTGTGAATTCCTTAGTACATAATTCATAATTGATCCTGTGGGTCCTGTGTACATAACTGATGCTAAATTTCAATACAGTATTTTTGATGAGAATATCAATGTCCAGAAGTTATAAAAATATAGTGTAAGAGGTTAAAAATTAATTAAGTGGAACCCATCATTTATTTTATATTTGCTCTAATGTATGAACTTTATCTATCAATCAATCAATCAATCAATCACTCTAATACAGTAATCAATCTAACAAGATAATTAAGTCGCTTGTCATATAATAAATCACATTGAAAATTCTTTTTGCTGCAAATGAGGTAAATGAAAGATTTATAGCTCCCAGAATGTGAAGGTGCCCAATGGCACAACTAAAGTGTCAAGAACACAGCGCCTTGTAGAGCAGCAGTTCTACAATGAACCATGATCTGATATTCATCCATCTTAGTGTTACAATTCGCATTGATGAGTAGTGTTTTGGGTCATTTGTTCTGTTAATTAGATGTGATTTATTAGTCTACATTGAACTAACAACTTACCTTAAAAATAACAAAATACCATAAAGAAAAATAACACTTCAAAGTGTTACCTTGCTTCCCTAGTTTAATTCTATCGTTTGCTCTCCTTGTATTTCATTTGGAGGGCTGAATTGTCATTAGATTATCAAATCATCTTTCAAATTACAGCATTTGTACTGTTGGTCCTGTGTGTAATAAGGGATGTAGTACACTGTGAGGAAAAGAGCAGGATGCAGTTGAACGTTGGCGTTGGCGCCTAATCCGCTGAGAGTAAGCCCTTAACCTTGGTGCGTTGTATAACAAAAAATATCCAATCCGATCGAAGAAAATTGGTTTGTGTTTGACCATGTAGGATGAGGATGTTTTTTAAAAAAAGCAACAACAACATAAACCATGTCACAAGCGGAAAGCGGCCATGTCCGAAAAGATTACATGCTGTAGTTTGTATTTGTGCATGTGCAAAAAATAACAGATTACGGTCACATGATGTCTTCTGTTATCGCGATAACTAATTAACTTTTTTAAATTTTTTTATGACTGTATTTATGTCACTCTCTGTTTGATCCTAACTGAGAACCATCTCCTTCATCCATGGTTTAACATACAAAGACCCCTACATAAAAAATGTTTACAATTTCTTGTTTCCAGAACACACGAACCTCTGCTACTGTATTTGAGTACAATAATAAGAGCATAACTCTGTAAAACCTCTACCTCATTGTGTGTTACCTTTGATATCTATAACCAACTATAATGCATAAGATCAAATATGACCCCTCTTCCATTCTTCATTCCCCATTCACTAGTTTGGTGATAAATTCAGTAAGCACAATTTTGTCCTTTACAATTGTCATTGTGATAAATCATTTTCTTATTTAATGTTAATGCAAAAGCTATAGTCTTATTGTACCAACTGCATTCAGAAAATGAATGTAAAAAAAATCAATGCGAAAGTTTTTTTTTTGCAGCCATATCTAGTTATTTAACCCGAGTGAATTCTTATCCATTGTCAACTGTTGTGATTTCTACTAATGGTGTTTACCCACAGCCTTCTCTATAAAAAAGGTTATGTGTAGAATTATAGCGGGCAAACTATGTTTTATAATCGATAATAGTCAATGTACTCCATGCTGTTTTGTACATGGAGCATATAATAATTAGCAGTAGGGAAAAAGTAGTATTGAATAAAAAGATTGCCTGTAGTTACTTGTATAAATAATAGATAACAAAACATAGCGTGCGTGCTGCAGTTTGACATGTGAATGGATATAAAATCTGTGAATAATTGTATTTAAAAAACGAAACTATAGACATACAAAATGAAACTCATTGCTTTTCAGTTTTATTAATAGAAATCTTGGCCACTGTATGTTGTAAATATATTATCTGTTATTGCTGACGTTGTCTTGGCAAGTTAACCAGCATTGATCATTAACGTCATATGATTATTTTTATAAGTTTATATATTTTTACATTATATTTTACATTACGAAAAAGCAATATATTTATTTGGAGGCTACAGTACGACACTTACTTGAAAGTGGCACTTATTACATATTATTGGAGTGGTGTTACGCCAATTTTTTATATAGTACAGTATTTAGACGAGATATTATTTCGCTGTTAGAAATCATTTCTTGAAAATTTAGAATATTTAGTCATTAATAGACCCTTGGTTAAGTGCCATATAATTTTTTTTTTAAATACTGTGGCGCTTTTTCCTAAGCATCGCGTAGCAAAAAAAGTTCATGCTATACCAGACGTTTACTTGAGAATTGCACTTATTTGAGGGAGCACAAAGCTTACTCATCCATGAAGTAGACAAGTGAATCATAAATATATACATTGCGTTGCACAGTTTTGAAAACTCATTATGCATTAGTTTCACTTTCTGGTGAGAACTACCATACAAGTTTCATAACTAGCTTCAAACTGTAAATCATTTGTGCACTGTATTTTGAGCAAACAATTAAGATAATATGTAATTTTTATCAATTATCATTTATAAACCATAAGCTCTTGCAAGTGTCTGATAATATGACAAACTAAAACTTAAGTAAGCTTATCAAAATTATAATGAATTAACATTCTATTCTATATATGTTAGAACATATTTATGAGCAATGATATAAAATATTGTGGCATCATCATAAATTTGCATTTAATAATTACTTTGTAATTGTAAACTTTTGTCTTAATTAAATTTTTTAAATATATATTAAATCATTATTTTTGGAAATTTAAATTGTAATATGTATTTAATCATTGTAATTTTTGTATTTTTTATGTATGTCAATTGTTATTGTTTACTGTTTATAAAAATACTTGAGCAATTTGTTTTCGTTGGTAGGGTTTATGTTAGTGTCTGAAGATGAATTTCTAGCTTGCGCGTTTAGTAATTTTGGAAAATAAAGATTTGATTTGATCTAATTTAATCATCTTTCTTAATCCTCAGCATAATTGAAGACCTTGCCATTGTGGTCTGTTTTGAGCAACTCATTTAGGGCATATAATTTAGCTGAGTGATGAAAATTGATTTTTCATCTTTTTAAAATGGGAATTCTAATTTATTTTTAACATTTTCAGCATGGACAGATGGATAGTTGATATAATACGCATTAAATCCTACTAAAGGGAGTTATGATTTATAATTAGAAAAAAATTATTGAAACAAAATAGAATGAAAAGCACAGTTTTAACTAACACCGAACAACTATAAGAAATAATATCAAATCTTAGAACCATACAAAATGTTAAAATTGGTGGTATTATATTGCCCATAAGATTGCTCAAACATGATAGCATTAAATAAGTGAGGTGTGTATTTTTTTTGTTCTCAATTTCTTTAAAATCTTATTTTTTTCCCTAGATGTCCCAATTCAATGCCATGGAAGAGAAATTCTCAAGACTATGGACACAGTGTCAAAGGTGTCAGGGTAGTCTACATGAAGACGTCTTATGTTCAAGGTAAACATCTTCCAACAATGCACAGATACACTATTGTATTTGAGCAGTTTGTGCAGAGGTTTCAGGTTGGGCCGACAACCTTAAGGTTTAGGGTATGAACCCCTTGTTGTACATTCCGTATGTATTCTTGGGATAGGTACTTAAGTACCTTAGTATGTTTGTGTCTCTCTTTTCCCAAGAGTATAAATTAGTACCTGATAGAATGTTGTGACATTGAATGTAATAGGTTGTGCACGTTGAAATGTTCAACATACCATACTTAATGTTCCATTCTATATTTCGATATCTTTTATTCACAAAAAAAAATATACAAGACAACAACAATATCAAATCCATAGCAGCCAGTGGCTGAATTGGGGATTCGATTTACAAAAAGTATAACGTAAGGATAGGTTTATGCGAGATCAAATGCATAGCGTGTGATGGGTTTATGATACATTCAAGTAGCCTTCATACATATCTTTTATAGACTTCTTTTAGTCTATTCAATTGTCTGAATTCAAAACATTACCTAATCCTCAGTGTTCCCCAAAGTTGGATTTTCCAAAGTCATTTTTGGTTAAATTATATAGAATGTGCATAGTTCAATTTCAAAGTAGTTGACGTTCAGTCTTAGAACTAAATATGAAAAATAATGGTTTTTAATAATTTGAAACATTTTTCACAATTAAGCAAAACTATGCATCCCAAATTATTAGCAGAATTAATTTTTCTTAGGACAACGGATAACAATATCTACGCATTTGAAATTACACTGTTCTAAATTTTGGACTATAAAGTTATAAAATTGAGGATATCGAGGCTTGCATTTGTATTTGTAATTTTTAAATACTGTGAACAAGATTTGACCTTCCACACACACTAACCTCCGTCCACACACATTTTTTGTTTCTAATTTGATAACTATTTATAATTGTGGATTGTTAATTGAATATTACTTTGATTGTGAAAAAACCTAAAAAAGAAAAAGAAAGAAAAAATTTGTTGAAATTTTTAGATGTAATATCAGTTTCTGGCACAGGGATGCTCTTCCTCAATCCTGTGGTAATTGTGGAAGTGATCAGAGTGGCATCACTTCCATCGTATCTAGTTAGCATTCTCATGTTCTTTAAATAATTTTGTGTACTCACAGTAATACGTTAACCAAACAAGTGTGCGCAGGGATGTATTAATTGAGTCCACTCAGCCTTGAAGTTTTTCACCCAGTCTTCATCCCATCCTTATTAACCCACTTTTCCATCCTTAAAATGTTTACCAATGTTATCACGCACCCATCCTAAAAATGTCAATCACCCACCCTTAGCTATGAAAACCTGTATGTTGTTATTCATTCTAAATTATGCTGTTCCAAACAAGAAAAAATACACATACGTATAAAAATATAAAACTATAACTTATATTTTATTTATCTAAAAACCGAAAAGTCCACTGATTAATCTCAGATAAGATAGTATAATACATAATCCAAGTATCAAAATGCACGCCATCGTGTCGGGATTCAATATTTAGATTTTATGTCATCATCAGGAATAATAATGACATAATTAATGTCGAAATATTGAATCCCGACACGATGACATGCATTTCGATACTTGGAGTATGTATTATAAATACTATCTTATTTATCTAAGTACTGTATTTAGTGTGTGTCTGGAAAACCCATCATTAAATGGCAAATTTGCAGTAATTTAACACCTTTCATTTGGAAACGTTTCATATATCATTCTGTGTGATAACATTTAAGCAGGCCATAATATACTTGTTTTCTTATTCATTCTATATATACATGTATGTGTCACTTCCACAGTGTTTCTAATTCCTACTTAGTTCATCTCAAATTCCTAGTTTATTTTTATATTAAAAAGTCCACATAAAGAGCGATTAGATCATGTTTTTATATGTCAATTAATATACTCTAAATAGGTTTATAGTTATAGCAGTGGCAGACCGTCAAAGTATGCAGTGCACGCCCTGGCTAAAACAAATTTTTTTTTAAACAATAAATTATTGTACAGTTTCCCCGTTTTATTTAGCGTAAGCTTACAGTAGCGCGGTAGATCGTCGCTAAAAGCGGTAGACTACCGCATGTAGTGGTAGACTTGGGACCCCTGCATGATTTGCAACAGATTATGGTATGCAGTTTTGTCTGAATGGGGCTTCGGTAATGGTAGGATATTTGTAGATCCCCTTCCACAATAAAATCGTGTGAAGGCGCTAACAGTATACAGACCCAAAGTCAGATTGAAAAAATAAAAATAAATATAAAATTTTAAAATAGATAAAGAATAAAATAAGTAAACATGACGTTCAATTATTGGTGTTAGATGGCGGCCAAAATTGGCCAAAAAGCAAATCGCGAACACAAAAGGGAAAGGGAATTTGCACTCCCGATGTTGAGACAGCGTCACTACCCCAACCGTGTACACACAGGTACCCCGGCGACAGTTTGCTGTTCTCCAGTAGCTTTCACCTTGGATAAGCCTCGGCTCTACTACCGTGCACTGTTAAGGTGGTGGTGTCAAACTGCAGTTTGTGAGAAATGAAATGATTTTGATGACATCACAAGCTACTGTAAACATGATAGCTTATGTTCTTGAACTTGATTTCAGATGGGATGGTTCCTGTGTATAAAATGTATATGTACATGGAAATAAGGAGGGAGTGGACCTTTTTGCACAAGCCCCTCCCTTTTGATATTGTTGTTAGTATCCGACAAAACGACAGTGTCAAAACTTTTTGTGAGGCAAGGGCATATTAATGGTCCTGTTCTGATCGGTCAATTGTTCAGTTTGATTGACACTCCAGAAAAGGTCATTGTTTTCTGAAGTTCTTAAATATATTTGTTCACACCATTAAGTTTCATGTGACAAAAACCTGTTATTTGCCTTTTTTTTGTGATACGGCATAATGCCCTTATATGGGCATGTTATGCACAGAAGCCACATAAAACGTGACAATGTGAACTGAGCTTAATTCACATTTAGTATTTTCTCTATATATTTTGCAATTCAAAGTTAATACATTTTTTAAATATACAAAAAATTAGTAATTCAAGCATTTTTTAGCCCTATCACAAATGTGCTTTTTTACAATGAACATAATAATTAACTTGTACACAAAACATATAAATGAATTTAGTAAAGTGTTTTTTTAGACAGAATATTAAGTAAAACCTTTATTATTACTTACCAGCACATTTTTGAAATTAATTTCAGTTTCATTCTCTATATTCTTATCTTCTAGTGCAGGAAATAATTATGTATTTTCTCGTAGTGTTTTCCTTATGCATACAATATATAGTAAAATTTTAGCCCCATTTCCCATTAGGCTTCCTGAATAGATACTCAGAGTACAATGCTTATCTTAGATGATTTGGTTGCAGGGGACAAATTTGTATCTAATCTAGTTGGAATTAAGAAGCCTAGGACTTGATACTGCATCCTGTATTGGTATTTTTATTGTCTTGTTTCTGTGGATTGATTACATCACATTTAATGAACAGCTTATCAGGGAATATACATTTGGTTTTAACAAGTGGATACCAAATTTTCAGGAAGCTGTAATCAGTTGAAAAGAATGTTCCTATCAAGAAATTTCATTGTCTTATATTGTTTTGTTATTCATTATTTATTACGCAGGCCCCCAAGATGCAAGTGTAGAGTCCTAACAAAACTATTATTAATATCAGTATTTATTATTTAATTTACTATATTACTTTTCTATAAATTTTAGATTTTTCTTTTTATTGTTACAGTCGGGATTGCCCAATTTTCTACATGCGAAAGAAAGTACAGAAAGATCTTGCTGACCAAGATAAATTAATCCGCCGTTTTGGGAATCCAGCATGGTAGAGGACCACACCACGATAGCCTGCCGGATGGAGTGAACTTGGACTGCCTCCTTTTTGGAAGGTAGGCCAAGTGAGGAATATTTTCAACTGCTGCTTTTGCGAAAGGCTACATTTACTTCAAAGTTCCGCGAACTATAGTCCGCGACCTAATTTTGGGCCTCAAAACATTTTTGGAGGGTCGTGGAGTTGCTCAGAAAAAAGAATTTGTTTTTGTAAAACTACTTCATTGATACAGTAAATACACATTTTATACAAAATGTTGGCATTAGAGCAGATGATGTCAAGTTATTGTATATCGTAAGAACATGGAGGTAATGTTCATGATCGGAACTTTTTGCCAGGTTGTAATATTTTGGTCCCTGGCATGGCTGGGCCAGGGGCTTGGTGCCTAGAATCGAAATACGGCTGAGATGTTAAAAAGTTAGCAGAACGCTGCTTTATTTGGCATACGTACTACGCGAGCACTAATTTGCAGGTGCTACTTTCATAAAACATTTGTCATCAATACACTACAGTACTTTTGCAAGGAACTTCATGTATAATCATTTGTGCAAATATTACTACGTGATTAATTGTCTGGAGAGAAATGTCAGTCTAAGTGTATATTAATATTATGTCTACTTTGGTCTGTACCTTTTGGGAAATATCTACACTTCTTACAGATCAGATCTTTAATGTGCAAACGTGTTGCACAGGGTAACAATAACCTGAAGTTGTAATATCGTAACTAAAGTGCGGGGGAGGGGTAGCAATCAGATCTCCTTGGTTTAGCATCTTAAATGTGCACACAAACTATGGTGCACGCGGTATCAATGACCTAAATGTGCATTATAATGATTGAAACAGAGGGAGAGCAGAAATAAAATGTTTGTTTCAGCAAAAACATAGTGCCTACCATAAATTTACCAAACTGAACTATGTTTCATTCCCCTTATATTCTTTCTCATATTTGCTTAGGAATTTGTACTTGGCGAAGTTACAAATATTAAATCCTGTTTTATTTTATTCTGTGGCTAGGGGAAACTTTCCCTAAACTACCAATTAATTTCCAAAATCGTCTTGGGTACATTTCAGTAGACAACATATCCATTACATTGTGTGAGTCCTATTATCAAAATAATATTAACAATGACGTTTTTTTTCAAATGAACAAATATTGGAACCAGCTGATAGTGCAGTTTAATTCATAGTTCATTTATAACATGTTTTTTTTTTTTTTTTCCTGGAAGTACGACTACTGTTTTGTGCTTGGTACTGGTACTACATTTGTAATTGTAATTGTAATTTCTAATTGAATATTGTAAGCTTTTTTATTATTACAATCACTTTGTCATTTTTTTTAATGAATTCTATGGTTCATGGTTTAGCCATGAACTATGTAGTTGCTGCATATTCAGGTCGACTTAAACCAGCTTGAAGTTGCTAGGCTAGCTTTTGTAAGCTAGCCAGGCATTTGACCACTGGATTTTGAAAGATATAACCACATGGACTGCTTCTGTATATAATGACGAGAAGTAAAGAGAATAATAATTCTTACATTACATGATGCCTTACAACAAAGAGTATAGAATTGGTCCGAATTGCCCTGTATGCACGCAATGGAACATTAATGAAAAAATACTGCCACAAGATAGGGGGCGCCCTAGTAGAATTCGAATAGAGTTAACTCAAAACTCATCTTGTAAGGACATGCCCTTTGTGATAGTACTTTTTGAATAGGATTATGTTCCAACAAAACCACGAGAGTTGCGCCTCTTGCAGTTCGATCTACACTTTTTGTAAACAACCTTGAAGTTCTTGCAGTAAGTGTCTAAATTCACAGATGACTTGGACTCTATAACCAGGTACACCCTGCTCCTTTTTTTTTTCCCCGCAATTTTTTCCCACCAGCTGCATAATATTGTAATAAAGGTCTGGTTAAACACATCAAGCTATTAATTCAAAAACAAACTAAAGCAATTCAAAAAGAATAGTGAATACGCGGGTTCTGAGAGGACTTTTGAGTGATTGAGATAAATCGCTATTTACATTTTCCGGAAGGGCACTCAGAATGAGTGCTGGGACAAGCCGGTTTGCTTATAAAAGAAGTTTTCAATTTTATTAGAGATCTTTCTGTGTAAAAAGTGGTCACAGACTTGACACCATAATCACACAGGAGAGGGAGACCCAACAGACGATGGTGTAATGACATCAGGGAATTCAGTGGCAGTGATTGGAGGCAGCGAGCATAGAGTAGACTGCCGTGGAAAACTAATGGAAAGGTCTACATCCAGCACTGGATCGAAACAAAATAACAATTCCCGATAGAATTTGTGTTGTTTATAGAATGGATGCAAGTCAATAAGCAAGTGCATTGATATAGAAGTGAGATGAGCTAACCTAATAATATATAGACCATTTTCTCAGATTTATTTTTAAACAGCGCTGCCAACTTCTCGCAACTCAATGGGGGTGGAGGGACTTCAATCGGCCTAGCCTGAGCAGCTGGCTAGTTAGAGATAGAACATCGTGCAACGGATAGTGCCTCTAGACCCTTACTATAACAGCAGTAGACAACAGATACAATCTTGCTAATTACTGTAATTACTGTGTATGTAAACATATAAATAGGTTTTTAAGACTTGTAGACTTGTTTTTAATATAAGCATTTCATGTTTTTTCCATTTAAATAATTGTGCTTGTTAGTAATCTACGTAGAGTGAAATGCTAGGTCTCTGAAAGTCCCTCAGTGGTAGTTGCCTGGTTATCAGAAATTTTCATTTCAAATTTTGCAAAAATGGTCTATGGTTATCATTACAACTACTACTAATAATAATAATAATGGTACCTCTAGATCATAACGACTGTTTTTCACTAGGCGAATTTATTGACGTCAACGAATACGCAGTAACATTTCTATCGGAGTTTTTTGCTTCAGCGAAATCAGTAGTTCGAACTGTTCCTTTTTTTTTTGCAAAGCAAAAAAATGTGCAAGCAATCACAGCTCAGGAAGCGAACCGGCACTTTCGACTCATGCAAATACATTTGCCTAGCGGAAAGCAGCCTTAATGTATTACAATGTAGTAACACTCTTTTTTATAGACAAAATGTAATTTTGAAACTATTGTATTCAAGTGGAGGTGGGTTTTTTTTTATTGTTTGGTCACAGTTTGCCTTGTAATCTGACTGATTGAAGAATAAATAATGCCATCAAAAGTGATTCAGTTTTATGTGTCTGCTTTTAATTTTTAGCATCGATATTGCTCTTGTTTGTTTCTCTTTCGCTTTTACCTGTGATAATTGCCTTCTATTAAAAATATTCTTGCTAATAATCTAACGTTCAATTCTCTTAATAGCTTTCACTTTCAAAGCCTTTCTAGTTTATATGGAAACTTCCAGACTAATTGTTAATACTTCTTCATGAATAAATTAGCTTTTGTGTTTTAAATCACTGATATAAAGGTATTTTCTCTGTAAGATATCGTTTACGCTTAATGAGACTACAGTATTCAAATTTTAAAGAGATATTGTTGAAAATTGCATTGTCATATTAAAATTTGAAATTGAAACACTCTAAAATGAGAAAGATATACCTTACTAAAAGAATTTGGTTTTGTGAAGCTTTAAGTGAAGGTGTATCCTTGTAGCTAGTGTCCTGGGTTGAAATCCATGTAGCAGCACTGAATTTTTTTAATGACTAAAAAACCATCTCCATTCCATAAGCCTTGGAATTTCTATTGTCTATTCTTCAAGGGGCTTTAAATAACAGCTAGAAGGGTCACAATCTATAAGTTAATAACTTATGATGCAGTGTGTTATGGGTAAACTTGCCATAAAAAACCTATGATCATTAACAACATTGGCTCCAAAGTTACAATAATGAATTACTGTATATTATAATAATCCTGGTACAGGGGTCCCAAATTGGAAGTTCATTTCCGGGAGATCTGTTTAAACAAGCTTTCTTAGTACATCTAATTTAAATGATAACGAAGGAGTCATACAGTAGTAAAAACATGCAGATTTAATGAATTTGCAAGAGATGGGTTAATTTCCCGGAGATTCTTGTGCAGGCGGTAGTCCCGTTTGCTAGGAGACTCCTGCAGCTTGAGGGAGACTTGTGACCTCTGATAATGGAACTAGACTCGGACCAGTTTAACAGATGAAATATGCTTATTCAGTGAAAAAAATGACGTAGCATGCAGCTAAACATTCTAATTGCACTGAAACAACAAACTAGAAACAAGAAGAATTAGACTAAACTTTTACTGTAGCTTTAGAAATGGATAATATTTTGTTGTAATTTGGAGGACTGATCAGCAGTAAGATTTATTCCTTAACAGTTACTTGAACAAGCTCCATAGTATTACTGGTTAATTTTTTGTTTTGCGTCTGGTGCGGATTCGACGGCTACTCAAAGTCAACCTCTTACCTAATCTCACTGCACACATAAGTTAACAGCATTGTTTGGTTATTCATGACTGTTTTGGTAGCCGTTTACTTTTTTGTGCGGCAGGCATTAAATTGTTGAATTGTCGCTCTGTATCAATTGATGTTACGTACACCAATCCCATACCCTATAAATAATACCAATACCAAAAACTGTTTTTTAAAATTTTGTTTCGCCGAGGGCTTGGGAGGAAGGAACTCAACTTAATATCAATGCTTTTTCATTTATTCATGCTGTCAATAGATCATAAGAAACAATAATAATAATATAAAAAAAAAGTAGAATGCACAAATATTTTGTTTTGGCCTAAAGGAAAGATTACAGTATAAAGTGGTCATGGTCTGCTATTCAGAAATAATGCCCTTACAAGGCTCTTTAAAAACAACGCCTTTCATACACAACAAAACATAGGATGACGGTATGTTAATTGTTCAAGCTAAATATAGATACATGATGTATAATATTTCCACCTTAATTATATTCAACTTTTGTTATATTATGTTGCCTTAATTATTTACTTTTTTTGGTAATGTTTATGATATTATGGTTTGTAGGTACACTTTCACCTGAGTTCTTCCACCTTGATACTATTATATTCTATGTTAGTTGAATTTGAATTTAAAATAAAAAAAGCAAATGTAACTATTAACCATTTAACAAGAAAAAGCGCCCTCTACTGTAATTGATGCCAGGCTTTAAAAAGCGCCCTCTACTGTAACTGAAGCCAGGCTTTAAAAAGCGCCCTCTACTGTAATTGAAGCCAGGCTTTGGAGGGAAAAAATTTTTGAAATGTTGTACAAGTGATCTTTCTAAGACACAAAAACCAATTTTGAAGAAAAACTCAAAGCAGTTAATGAGATATAGATTTTTGAATATTTAAAAACTTGAGTAGTAAGAGGGAGTAACCACCCTTTTTTTTCACCTCTCCCCC